AGAGAGAGAGAGAGAGAGAGATGAGCGATACAAGATTGGCTGTTACGTACCTGTGAAGTTGCTGCGCAGACCCACGTAGAAGGAAGAAAGCGGCCATAGCCGCGGAGCTGTATCACGGAGTGACGAAGGAGGACAGAGAAGGAGGGACCGAGGAGAGAGATAGAGGGAGAAGTGTGGAAGGAGGGACATCGGAGAAGAAGACAGACATAGCCGAGGTGAGAGTTGACCGGAGGGTTGACTGGGCATTGACCGGAAGGTTGACCGAGGTGTTGACCAGGGCCTTGCAGCGTTGACCCAGCATTGACCGAGGAGTTGACCGGTGCCGTTGACCAAGACTTGGACCAAGCTGGAGTTGGTAATGCCTCGCCAAGCCCCTAGCCTACCCCCTCACCCTGTGGATGTGCACTCACCCTACGGTACTTGCTGAGTCTGAATCTGTTTGTCTTTCCTTTCTGCATCGAGTCTCTTCTGTCCTAAGTGGTAGCACTATGTGGATGAAGGATAGTGCTTGGATGACGAAACCTTAGTCTGACCTTGGAGGGCTGAGGCTGTGGCTGATCCAACTTTCCAGGGGGGCCTAACCCTCCCAAGGACCGGTGCTGACCGGTTGGAAACAGTTGGTAGGACTCAGTGGGCATGAACGACAGCTAAGGCTGACACACCAGGCAATCTTTAAGTGTTGAGGGCCTGTTTGAACCACTCCCCTACCGGACCAAGTAAGGCCGAGGATCTGTGTCTGACGACTCGACTGTCCCGGGGGATACGAACCCTCCCAAGGACCGGTACAGACCGGCGGGCTGCTCGCTGTGGCATAGTAGGCCGGAAAGGCTGAGTTGTGGGCTGAAAGCACAGGCAAGAACCAAGCTGATCATGTCGTCCTGTCTGCGACGTTAAAGAATTCTTGCGGAGTTAGGGGGATCTCCTTAAATGCCTCCAGATCAGCAATTGGTTCAGTAGTGACAGCCTTAGAGTAGGTCTAGGCTAGCGACCGTAGCTGACAGGGTTCTACCCTGTGGTCCTTAGAGAGTCAGTCAGTCAGTGGGTCAGTGTGCGGGTAGGTCTAAGTGGTGAGGAGTGGGACTCCTTGTCGTGCACCTGACACCACCATGGATGACTATCCGATGTATGGGTTACTTGTTGGGTTCTCCTTGTGAGGGACCCTTTGGCGTCTCCTCTTCCCCCTAGGGTTTTGGCCCACGCTCACGTGCAGAGTAGGAACCCAGGGCGACACTTCCACTACACATTATACCAAGGAAGATGAGGAGAAGATGACCGTCATTCTGAGGGAAAGGAAAGAGAAGAAAGAGGCCAAGAAAAAGGCCCTACAGGAGGAGCAGGCGGCAAAGTTGAAAAAGATAGAGGAGGAGATGGCCATAAAGAAGGAGAGGTTGAAGAAAGAAGAAGAAGCGAAGTTGAAGGAGGTGGAAGAAGAAGAGGAGGAAGATGATCAGCCACTGGAAAGGGAGAAGGGAGCAACGAGGGCAGTACAGTGGCAGCAAGAGTGAGGAGATGGAGAAGAGGATCTCAGAATGGGTCGCCAACTTATCCTTGGGGGAAGAAGAAGAGGTAGCCATGTACATCCCCAAGGATGTTCTGAAGCCGCTATGAAGGAGTGGGAAGCAGAAGAAGATGTTCTGAAGTGGCAGGCGATGGAGGATGAAAAGAGAATGGAGTGGAAACTTAGAATGATGAGGGAGAAGAAGAAGAGGGTGGACGCGGCGAGTGAAGCGGTCAAAGATCTAGAGGAGGTGCAAAAACTGACTCTACGATTGACCCCTCAAGTAGACCTCCAACAAAAGGTAGAGGTCATTGCCCAGAGTGTTGAGCGTTTGGCCCGAGTACAGGAACAACAATATGAGTTCAGTCGAAGTCAGGATATGGTCGTGCGCTCAATGCGAATGGGGTTTCGGGAGTTTGCCCGCGAACTGGTAGGCGCAGTAGGAGCCGAGGCGAATCATCGCCTCGAGAAGACTGAACGCTTCTGCGTCGGCGCCATTGAAGGCGTCAAGAAGGAAGAGGCACGTCCTCGCCGGGAGCTAGTCAAAGTCAAGTTCCCTGATTCCTATTGTGGAAAAAGGGAAGAGAACTTTGACAATTGGGAGACCAATGTCAAGACCTATGTGCATCTGCAACAGGTCTCCCCAGATAAGCACGTGTTGATTGCGATTCATGTGCTTAGAGATGAAGCCGCCAGTTTCGCGAGGTCCCTAGTCCGCGCCTCCAACTGCAATGAAGATGCAGTTGCGTACTCCACATTCACCCCCCTCGCTGAGTTTATGAAATTGTTGCGCGAGCGATTTGCTGATGTCGCTCGTAGTGTCAAAGCCTCAGATAAACTCCAAACAATCCATTCTCGTAAATGGAAGAGCGCCAGGGCCCTCAAAAGCACAATGGACGAATTAGTGGTTGTACCTGACCATGGGGTCACAGACACCCAGTTGGTCGGCCTCTTCTATCGGGCTATGCCCGAAGCCTTTCGAGGACATTTCTTCACGAAGAGCGAAGACCCTGCCACCACGTATGATTCTCTTAGCCGTGAAGTGGTGGCCTTTGAGGCGAAGTCGGTGTCAGTTTCTACATTCTGGCATAGAGACTTAGACAAAGGAAAGCAATGGAAAGGTCGCACTATCTCAGGGCAAGTTAAGACTAAGGATAGTCTTGTCCTGACTTTAGACGAAGGTAGCGTCGACGAGATCCCCTACGAACAGATTGAATGGGGGTTAGAAGATGAGGACAGCGGTGCGAGCCAGAGGAGAACTTACGCTGCTGTCGGGGCTGAAGGGAGGCCGCAAGGAGGAGGACGAGGCCAGGGCCAAGGGGGTCAGGCCTCAGGGAGCCAGTTTCAGGGCGATCAGGGGGTTGGCGACAGAGGAGGAAACCGCCAAGCGGGAGGAAGGGGTCAAGGTCCCCCGCAAAACCGTCCTAGGAATAGGTCTCCCTATAGGGTAGGTGGATAGCACCCAGGGCTACCGCAGGGTAGGCCTTGGGAAAGTTTGGGTCTGGACCAGGGCTTATGGCAACAGCGTTTGGACCGGGGCCAATGCATTTACTGCGGTGACCCGGGCCATATCATTAAATATTGTCCTAAGTATAGAGAGACCCGGACGGTTGCGCAAGGGCCAAAAGGCAGCCGCCGGTAGGGGTAGCAACTGCCCCTACCATTAGGCCATGTGGGGAACATAGCGCTAGCCAGCAAGAGACTCCCACACCACATGTGCCTATGGCAGAGGTTGCAGGCCGGTGTCTAGATCGCTGTCCAGAGACTTCTTGTGTTAGAGTCTCTCTAGACACCTCCCTCACAGGCGTGGCTGAAGAATTGAAGGAGAGGATGCCCGCCTGGGCCAAGATGAAGAAGGAGAACAAAGGGCAGCTTATATTAGTAGATACAGAGATTTTTAGAGGTAGAGTAGGGGCCCTAGTAGACTCAGGGGTCATCCACAGCTATATTAGTAGGAAAGCGCTGCAGAAATTGAAGTTGGGGCTTAAAGTTCAGAAACTAACAGACCCCATAGTTAGTATCCTCGCAGACAATCGTACCACGGTTGTAGAGGATTACGTHGAGGGAGTCCAGGCGTATTTCCGCCTAGAGAAGGATGGGAAAGTGGAGAGGGTCCTCCACTCCCTGACTCTCCTCGTAGAAGACAGCCTCCCATTTGATATCGTTATGGGAATGGATTGGGGAGAGGCAGTCGGGGCCACACTCCATTTAAAGGAGCACGAGTGTAGGCTCCCTAGTCCTTCAGGCGAGGCTAAGACTGCCCGCCTGTTCCATGTGTCAGGAGTAGAGAATCCCCTGGCACATTGTTGCCTTAGTGCTCCTGCGTTCGCAAGATTAGTGAAAAAGGAGCAACTGGAGGAACAGGTCTTTGTTGCCTATGTTAGGCCAGTTACTGAGCCTACGGAAGAGAAGCCTATAGACCCTGCGATTGCCAAGCTGCTGGAGGAGTTCAAAGATCTAATCGAGCCGCCGATAGGAGTAGTGTCGCGGCTTATCCAGCATCGTATCGAAATTGAGCCTGGCAGTAGAACTCCCAAAGGAGTTGTGTATCAAATGTCCCCGCGGGAGTTAGAGGAGCTTCGCAAACAGTTGGACGAGCTCCTTGAGAAGGGTTGGATTAGGCCCAGTTCGTCTCCTTTTGGAGCACCTGTCCTCTTTGTCCCCAAGAAGGAGGGAGAGTTGAGGATGTGTATAGACTACAGGGGTCTGAATGCTATTACAGTAAAGAATGCTGAGCCACTGCCTAGGATAGACGATCTCTTAGATCGAGTGCAGGGGGCAAAGTACTTCTCCAAAATAGATTTGAAGTCCGGATATCATCAGATAGAGGTGCATCCTGATGATCAGTACAAGACAGCTTTCCGGACTAGATATGGGCACTACGAGTTCATAGTGATGCCCTTTGGACTAACCAATGCGCCAGCTACGTTCCAGCGTTGTATGAACGATTTGTTTAGGCCATGGTTAGATAGATTTGTTGTTGTCTACTTAGATGATATCTTAGTGTTTAGCAAGACCCTCCAAGAACATCAGGGTCATCTCAGGCAAGTCTTGGAGAAGCTGAGAGAAGCTAACTTCAAGATCGACGCAAAGAAGTGCGATTGGGCGAAGACCCAAGTTTTATATTTAGGCCACATCTTAGACGGAGACGGCGTTAAGCCAGAAGATTGTAAGACCGCAGCGATTAGAGATTGGCCCACACCACACACGCTGACGGAGTTGCGGTCGTTTTTGGGCCTAGCTAATTACTATAGGAAGTTCGTGAGGAACTTCTCCACTATTGCTGCGCCCCTTCGCAGGTTACTGAGGAAGAAACCATCTGGAAGTGGGATAAGGACTGCACGTCTGCCATGAAGAAGTTGAAGCAGGCACTGATAGAATACCCAGTCCTTAAGGTAGCCGATCCGTCCTTACCCTTTGTCGTTACTGCGAACGCTAGTCAGTACGGCATAGGTGTTGTGTTGCAGCAAGACGATGGCAATGGTTATAGGGCCATAGAGTTCATGTCTGCCAGGGTGCCTTCAGAGAAGGTTGCGACATCTACCCACGAGAGGGAACTCTACGCTCTCAGGCAAGCATTAGAACATTGGAAGCACTACTTGCTTGGGAGGCACTTCAAAGTCTATTCCGACCACGAAACGTTAAGATGGTTGAAGACGCAGGCGAAGATGACACCTAAGCTTACTAGATGGGCCGCAGAAATAGACCAGTATGATTTTGAGCTCAAGCCAGTCAAAGGGAAGTATAATGTAGTTGCGGACACTCTGAGTAGGAGAGCTGACTACTTTGGGGCGATAGTTCATTATCTGGACATCGGGAAAGACCTTCAGCAAAAGGTCAGAGAAGCGTACGCGCAGGACCCCATCTACAGTGACCTTCTTAAGAAGGTAAAGGAGGCCCCAGAGACCGAGCCAGATTACCGCACTACTGAGGGATTACCCTTTGAGAAGACTAATGTATTTGACCGATTGTGCATTCCCAATAGTGAAGAGATCCGCAGTCTGATCCTAGGAGAATGTCACGACACAGAGGGTCATTTCGGTTGGCAAAAGACTCTAGCCAATCAAATGCACGCGTACACCTGGCCGGGTATGAAGAATGACTGCATAGAATATGTTCACAGTTGTAAAGTCTGCCAATGGAATAAGACTACTACGCATGCCCCGCTAGGTCTTCTCAAACCCTTACCTATCCCTGATCAGCCCGGAGATTCAGTGTCCATCGACTTCATGGACGTGAGCGTCAAGAGTAGATATGGCAAGAGCCAGGTCATGGTGATAGTCGACAGATTCAGTAAGTATGCTGTTTTTGTTCCCTTGCCTTCAGAGGCACGAACAGAGTTAGTCATTCGCAATTTTTTTGATCATTGGGTCAGCGAGCACGGGGTCCCATTGTCCATAGTTAGTGATAGAGAAACCCGGTTCACGAGTCAGAACTGGCAGGAGTTAATGAAAGTCTATGGCTCTAAGTTGTTGATGTCGTCTGGCCGTCATCCAGAGACCAACGGTCAGACCGAGCAAATGAATAAGATCTTGCAACAAGTTCTGAGAATGTACATTAGACCAGATCAAATTGACTGGGATGAGATGCTTCCCAAGGTAGCCAGTGCCTACAATAACAGCATGCATCTGTCTACGTGCCGCACTCCCAACGAACTGCACAAGTCCTTTAGACCGCGTAGACCATTTGAGGGACTTAACCGGGATCAGATTTCTAGGCTACCGACTGGTACTAGGGAGTTCGCTATACAGCACAAGAAAGAGCTAGCTACAGTTGTAGAAAACCTCAGGAAGGCCCAGCACAAGATGATAGAGCAAGCCAATAAACATCGTCGCCCCTCGCAGTTCCAAGTAGGCGACTTAGTCTGGGTCAGCGTGAAAGAGTTTGCTCCTGAGGAGAACATCTCGCAGAAGTTACTGCCTACGTACAGAGGGTCATGGCCAGTTCTAGAAGTCAAGGGTGGAGAGGATGGTCCGTCCTACACCATTGAGATTCCACTACACCTCCACACCTACCCAGTTTTCCATGCGTCAAAGTTGTTACCATGCACAGTAAGTGATCAGTTCCTGTCTAGACGATCCATGATCCCACCAGATATGGATGGAAGGTACGACATTGACGGCATCGTAGGTGAAGATGTGTTTAGAACAGGAGGTAGAGGTCGTCCTCAGAAACAATACAAAGTGCGATTCGCATATCAAGAACCAGAAGACGACCGATGGTACACCCGAACTGAACTTCTAGAGACAGCTCCCGATATAGTCAAGGCCTATGAAAGGGATAGGAAAGGTAAAGGTCCTGCCTTGGATTGAAATGTTCTCGGAGGAACTCGAATTTAGGCCGGCGGGAGTGGAACGGTATTCACCAGTTCGCATTAGCCGATGCAGATCCCGGGGCTCGATCCCTAGTTCCCCACCTTACCTGTGTACAGTAATTGTGTCAACCCGTAGATCTGAACCTGCAACCTGTAGGACCGCCGGTGGTAGGTAGGATCTCGTAGGTTACAGGGTATAGGGGATTCGAACTGTAGACCTGTCTGGGTAGGAGTCTAGACAGTCTAGAGGTTGTAGCTGTAGACTGTCCGAAGGGTCAAAGTCGTAGCTGCCACAGTACCGAAAGGCCAGGTAGAGGTTTCTAGAAGTGGCCTTTCGGAAGTCAGCCCACTGTAGGTCTAAGCAAGTGGGCAAGTGGTGGAAGTCCACCACGCAGAGTCAGCAGTCCCAGTCCAGCCAGTCCGGTCCAGTCACGCAAGTACCGTCTGGGATTGTGTACACCCTGGGCCAGGGAAACAGGGCAGGCCAACGAGGCACAAAAGTATAAATCAAGAGGCTGCGCCCAGCTATTCATTCATTCCTGCGGAAGCCATGCGGAAGCGCTGCCTCAGCGTCTTGTGCGAGGAGGTCTGCAGTGTGCCCGAAGCCGAAGTGGGCAGGGAAGCGTAGTATAGTGATAGGGTAGTGGCAGCTAGCGCTGCCATAGCTATAGTGGTGTGTGTGTGTTGTAGGAGTGTGCAGAGTGTCGTGTGTGGGATATCCAGGGTGATCCCGTGTGTGAACAGTGGATGTTGGGCGCTCAGTCGCCATAGCCAGTGGAAGTGAACTTACCTGGAAGCCATATCTCTGTATACTGTGTGGGCGCATGTCGCCAGTTTGTTGTGCTCTGTTCACGTGCATGAAAAGTGTGAATGAGTCGAGTCTGATTGCACTGATATTGATATTTGAGAAAATTGAGGGCGGGGTTTGGAGATTTTTTGCCTCCTCCAACTGTGGGTGCTTTGGCCCTTTTGGAGTAACAGCGATTCGTTAAAATGGATCCTTTCTTTTTTTGAACGAAATTGAAATCTCATTTTTTGGCCAAAAATTCATGAAATTGAAGGTACGGCGTTCTGAAAATACCCTACCCCCTCGATGTATCTGAACTTAGATGGAGTCCACATACATAGAAGGGGTTCGGCGTTTTCCGGCCTGGATGACTGTGGGTCTTTGACCTTTGTGGAGTCCTTCACACCTTTGAAATCGTTCCTGGCTATCTGTGTTTAGAGATTTTGGGCCTCCGACTCTGGGTACTTTTTTTTTTTACCTTTTTTCAAGTGCTTCACACCCCTTGGAGTCATGCCTCGGTGAGTGTGTTTAGAGATTTTTTTTTGCCTCCTCCGACTCTGGGTGCTTTTACCTTTTACAAGTGCTTCACACCCCTTTGAAATCATGCCTGGCTGCGTGTATTGAGAGATTTTCTACCCCAAAGGAGTATGGAGAGATTGTTTACCCCAAAGGAGCGAAGCCCCTACCATCCCAATCGAGATCGGACTATATTGTGGTTGTTTCAACACTTCTATTGTGGCTGAGATTTCTCAATCTGGGTGGCCCAGATTTGCTGTAGGCCTCAGCGTGGCTGGACCCAGTAGCCCCCCCCTGAAATGTACTGGAACAAATGCAGACAGCCTTTGATTCTGCACCTGATCTATGGTCGTGGTCTATGCTAAGAAATCTCTGACTCTTATAGTTTACTTTTTCTAGTCTTGAGCCTTACTCTTGATTTTCCAAAAGTCAACTGTCTCCTGTCTCGTTTAGGCCCACAGGTGGTCTCGTTTGACCCTGGACCTTATACCTGTTGACCCTAGGACTTTTCTCAGACCCTGTCTCCAACTCTTAGTTTACTTTTCCCGGTTTGGACCTGACTCTTGATTTTCCAAGAGGCAACTGTCTCATTTAGGGCCAAAGGTTGCATCTTTTTTTGACCCTGGACCCTAGGACTTTTCTCAGACCATGTCTCCAACTCCTAGTTTACTT